ATAACAATGCCTTGACTTGAGTTTACAAAACAAGGAAAAACTAACTTAATAAATAAATAAAATATATAAAAAATGTATGAAATATACTTGTATAGAATGTTTCGATGTGGAAAGGAGAACCTGCATCTGCATTTTGTTTCTTATTTTTGAAGCCTGAAACATCAGCCCACCAATAACGCCTCGCTTTTTTAATGTACGATTCTATTCTTGCTGCTTCAGTAACCACAGACTTCTGCTCTGCAGACTTTTTCTCTGTACCTCAACACTGTGCATCTGAGCCATGTCCTTGTTCTATTTTGTGTGCTCTTTCACAAATATCATCCTGTTGCATCAGCTTTGTCTGACTTCATTCCCAGTGTCCCAAACTCTGAAAAGCACCTCAGGGTTGTGGGTCTGCTGCTGCCATTCATGACCTGTTTTCACACCAATCAACCTGTCTGGTGCAACTGGGAAAAGTCCCTTATATCCCCTTTTCACACACCTGCAACAATAGCCTGAAACCTTCATCTTTGTTTATTTTGTGCATTTATAAGCACACATAACACACTGGGAAGAATGAATCAGCAATGTTTGTTGCCACAAGGCTTGTTAGTGCCCCCTGCAGTGCCCTACTGCTGCTGCTGCTGCTGCTGCTACTCATGGATGGATTACTGAACGGGCCTACTGGGCACATGCCCCAGAACCCAGAGTGTCAGGGTCTCCCCCTGGCCTTCACCTGCAAGATGTTGCTAAAATTACCATGTACTGACAAGGAAGAGACACACAAAAACTACAAAGAGACACAAGATTAATAAAAAGACAAAAAAAAATTACGCCAAAGAGACACACATGAACTACAAAAGAGGAAAAACAAACATAATGAGACATGAAATGATCAAGAAGAGACACAAAATAACAACAAAGAGACACAAAATGACCAAAAAAGACAACCAATGACCCCCAAAGAGACACAAAATAAGTACACAGGGGACAGTAAAACCAAAAAGAGACATAAAAATGACCAACAAGAGACACAAAATGACCAAAAAAAGACACAAAATGACCCCAAAGAGACACAAAATAAGTACAAAGGGGACAAAATAACCAAAGAGACATAAAACAACCAAAAAAGACACAAAATGATCCCAAAGAGACACGCATGAACTACAAAGAGGGCAAAACAAACATAATGAGACACAAACAATCAAAAAGACACATAAAAAAGCTACAAAGTGGGCAGAACAACCAAAAGAGACACAAAACAACCAAAAAAGACCCAAAATGATCCCAAAGAGACACACATTAACTACATAAGGGGCAAAATGAACATAATGAGACACAACATGATCAAAAAGAGACACACAATGCCCTAAGAAGACTTAAAATGACCCCAATGAGACACAAAATAGGTACAAAGGGGGCAAAACAACCAAAGAGACAGAAAATGACCAAAAAGAGAAAGAAAATTAATTAAAAAGGGACAAACCAACAAAAATCAGCTATCAAAAAAGTTGCAAAATCACCACAATGTGTTTGTGTCTGTTTCCAGTCCTACACAGGTGAGGTGGTGGGGCCTTTTATATGCCGTTTGCCCAGGGGCCCATTATCTTATAAGCCGCCCATGCTGCTACTACCATTGCTACTATCTGTTGCAAATGCTCTCTCTGCTAGAAATATACAGTATGCCTCACTCAAGTTCTCTAAATTAAACTGCAAAATATGTTGCTTGTCCATTCCCTCTTTTCTGGATCGACTTACATTTCACTGCTTTTATGCTACAAAACACAGGTGATTAGTATTTGCCCACCAATTATTTTTCTTGCTCTGTGGGTTTGAACCTGCAGTTAGACCATCGCTTTGGAAAGTAAAAACCTGCTAAAAAAAATAGCTGAACAGTTAGATTTTCACTGAACAGTTACTGAACGACATGAAAAAAACAACTGGTTTGGGTTTGGAGGTGGGGGAACTTCATTATTTCTAAAATCCTGCCTACGGCCCTGCTCCACCTCCTCCTACTTACACTGATGACATTTCTTGCACTTTAAGATCCAGTGTTTAGGATTTAGGGGGACATTTTTGCAGAAATGGAATATAATAAGAATATTTTCTTCAGTGTATAATCCCCCTAAAATAAGAATTGTCATGTTTTCATTACCTTAGAATAAGCTGCTTATATCTACATAGGGAGCAGGTCCCCAGTCCTCCATGTTTTAGTGCCATGTTTCGACAGTAGCCCAGATATGATAAACCAAGCAAGCTCTAGATAAGGCCATTTGTGTTATTGCGTTTTCATGTTTGTCACTGTAGCACAACCTCTGCAACGAGCTGAACAGCGTCGGAGAAAGAGTAATTTTACTATATTTGGTGTTTTTACTCATTTGAATCACCTGGTTCATGTGTTTTGGAGAGGAAGAAATCTCTGCACTTAATTTGGCTCCTGGTAAAAACCACCTGAACAATGAACAATGAGGGAATCCTGACCGGGGAGCTCATGCTTGGCACACCGATGCAGTTTCAGCTGGTTCCAATCTGCAATCCTCATTGCTGGATGCCACTAAATCCTGCACACCGCTCCTTTATATCTTTCAGCTAAATGAGGAAATGTTTAATGATCCAGCCTTGCATGCTCTATGTCACACATTCAGCTTTATGTACAGTGTAAAATTTTCCTTTGGCAGTGGAGACAACGTTAACAGACTGATGTGAAAAATGCTCTTCTGCCTCTGATATCATTTTAGAAGATAAGAAAAAGTAAAATATGGAATGTGAAAGTGCAAAAATGGGCCCCTGTCTACATTTCTATTTTGATTTGCTTCTCTGTCTCTTGCCAGGAAGGAGAGCTGTCTCTGGCTAATTGCTGAAGAAGTTTGTCCTGCAGTGATGAAATATCACCAGGCTTAACAGGAAAGTTTGTGCTCAAACAGCATCTTAGAAAACCCTCTGATGTCACTCTGTAAAACCAGCTCTTACAGTGGAACACACTGGCTTGCATAATACAATGTGATCAGCCACATTTATGTGTGGAATACAAATGTGATGATTTCAGACGGGAGCACACAGCGCCTCAAACTCAAAGATTTTCTTCTTTGGTCGCTCATCTGGGGTGCAGAAGCATGTAAGAAGTTGAAAGACGGTTTCTGAATGAGATCAAGAGCAGGAGCAGGAAGTGACTGGCATGGTAACAGGGACAAATACCCAGTAAGGGCTGATGTCAGACAGTAACAAAATATCCCAAACTCACACATGGGAATCAAGTGTTTAAGGACTAAGCTCAAGTGAAGGTGCCTCAGAGTGATTTACATACATTAAGCAACATCAAAAGGACTCTTTGTACACCTCTGAGTCATTATTACTTCAAACGCTTGTTTCACTCACTTTGTAAAATTAACCATGACTACCTGTGGTTTCACCTGTTTCACCCATTTAATGGAATCTTGACCCTGCTGTTGTGATATTAGGCCGTGAAACACAAAGAGGCCACTCATCTCTAACATCCCTGGGTGTTTTTCTGCTGCATACAGAGTGATCTCATAGTGGAAAGTCTCATCAGTCTCCTCTGAATGAACCACTTTTTTTTATTATTGTGTACAGTATATGCTTATCCAAACAGCTGCTGTTTGGATAAGCATATAGCAGGCCCTGCTGCCCTCGCCACATGTTGTGAAGGGAGGGAGTGCTCCGACACGGGTCATCACTTTTGTGTCAAATGCCTTTTCTCGCCTTCTCATAATAAAGAGGCGTCCATGTAGAAGCTGTGGGCATGGATAACTAAATATGATTTAATAACCTATGATCAGACTGGTTTGCACAGACCGCCTGCGCCACTCATATTGCAAAAAGGCCAGTTGTTACCACGGAAACCGTGTTTGGCGAGCGTGGGAGATAAATTGCAGCAGTATCTCCCTAATAATAATTTCTATTATCTGCGCTGGATGTTTAGATTATCATGTAAATAGGGGGACGTGCCGGTCGACAGCAGGTAGGAGCTGGAGGCTGGTGAATAGAGGAGATCAAATAGAACAGTTGAGCAATCACCACACGTGGGTGTACTGAGAAGCACGCAGTGGAATAAGGTAAGCCACAATTACTCCTTTTGTTGACTTGGTTTCTTTGCAAAAAATATTAAAGTAGGAAGCTTGTAGAGGTGGTGTGAAAATGAGTGAACTGAGACACCGCCACTGCAGACAGAGAGGAAGTCCTTGAGTTGCTTAAACTGGTGACACTTCTTTGGTTTCCTCACATTCCTCTGTAGAGCAGTAAAAAAAAAACTCCCCCAAGCTTTGGACTATAAGAGTTGAGCTCGCGTTAAATGTGTTCACGTTGTGATGCAGCTTATTACATAACAGGTAAGAAACTTTTCTTAACATCACAAGTTCTTTAAAATGTTACTTTCTCTTGAATTAATTAATGCTGTTGTTTTCTTTACTCTTTATTTTGCATTTCCTGTACAAGAAGATTCAAAAATTATACACAGATATTGTTTTGATGACTAAAGAGTGCCAGCTAAAGCTCAGAGACACTCATTATTACCCCGACATAGTTAAGTCATTATGTTTATGAGGGTCATCACTTTCACAACATGTCCAGTATTTCTGCCTGTACTGAAAACAAGGCCTGGAAGTTAATGATAAAAGCATCATTGTACTGTATTTACGACACAGAGGAAGCATTAACACGGCATTATGGTTTGTATACAAACCCATGTGCCAGACCCAAACACTGGCTCCTCATTAAGAGATAATTCAGCTCCACAATAAACTCTAAAGTAAGAAGAAATTAAGAGGGAATATAGAAAAAAAAAGAAATTAGAGTTTATCTCTGGCTTCTTCTTGTGGTCTTTCAGTTTATGGGCTAAACTGTGATGTGTAAAAAGTATAGAAAAGGATAGCGGCGCACTCTTAAACTAACTGTCAAATGGACAGTAGGTAGAAATACTGTGCTGCGCAGTGTGGTAATCTCTTTCCATTCTTTCTTATCAGCAGAGCTCAAAGCCCTCGAGGAAACGATGAGCGTTGGTTTATCGGTAGGGACAGGAAAACCACGCTGTCTCACTGGGTTTGTTCCGAGCCACTGACCCAATAAGAAGCCTTCGTCTCCTGTGGTTTTGGACTGCCTGACAGATCAAACCTCCCTGTGCTGCAGTGTATTCATCCCCCCCCCTGAGTCAAGGACATAATGTGACACATCCTGAACCTGACTGACTGACTGACTGACTTACATTGGGGCCACCATGCAGGAGTGCCACACTGGACTGTGTCTGTCTGTCTACATCATTACCTTTGTGCTGGGCTTCCCAGCCAACGTCCTCGCCTTCTACACTTTTTGCAAAAAAGTGAGGCAGAAACCCACACCCATTGACATCCTGCTCCTCAACCTGACCATCTCTGACCTCCTCTTCCTCCTCTTCCTGCCCTTCAAGATGCAGGAAGTGATGAACAACATGCTCTGGGACATGCCCTACCCCCTCTGCCCGCTGTCTGGCTTCATCTTCTACATGACCATCTACAACAGCACCTTCTTCCTCACTGCGGTCAGCGTAGAGCGCTACCTCGGAGTGGCTTTCCCCATCCAGCACACCTTGAAGCGGAGACCTGTGTATGCCGTCGCTGCCAGCATCTTCTTCTGGATTTTCTCCTTCATCCACCTGAGCATAGTGTTCATAGTTCCCTTTATTGGCCCTAAAAACTCTCCGAATGCCACCTCAGGCCACAATGTCTCAGCTAGCTTTGCCAATGGTGTTGACCAGAGAGAAGTGTGTTATGAAAATTTCACGGAGGCTCAGCTGAATGTCCTCCTGCCTGTGCGGCTGGAGCTCTGCGTGGTACTTTTCTGCATCCCTTTCCTGATTAGTAGTTTCTGCTACATCAACTTCATCAGGATTCTGTCCAAGCTGCAGCACATTGACCGGCGCCGGCGCCTGCGGGCCATTGGCTTGGCTTTAGGAACACTGCTGGTGTTCGCTTTATGTTTTGGCCCCTATAACGTCTCTCACATTGTCGGTTTTATTACTTGGAAAAGTCCCGACTGGAGAGACAAAGCTCTGCTGTGCAGCACCTTTAATGCTTGTCTAGACCCTCTTATTTTCTACTTCTCCTCCTCTGCTGTGAGAAAGACTGTGGGTAGTGTGATGGAAGGGGTTAAGAGTCGTCTAAACAGGTGCGTGTCCTGTCACATGCTCAGGGCCTTGTGGGGGGGGATTAACAAGACTGCAAAAGATAAGGAACACAAACAAGAGGAGATCAATGCTATCTAACCTGACTCAAAGAAAGCTGTGAGCAGCTGCTTTCGCTAATTTGTTATTTCTTCATCCCTGGAAGCAGGAAATTAGTGCCATGTTTATGTTTTAACACATGAGAAAATGACTCTGCATACTGTATACAGTCTCTGTTTGACTCTCTGATGAACTTCCTATTGGGAAAAAAGACAACAGAGGAAACTCTTCTTCATGCAGCATGATGGGAAAGTCACAGAGACAGTCTCCTCTGAACCGTCATATTCAAACAAAACATTTATTTTTTACGTAACAACAGGATTTCATAAGATCTCCATCAATGCTGTCAGGTGTTGTGGAGTGCTGCACCAACAAAATGAATATCTAAGCAACAGCTGCGGACGTCACCTCTAAGCAATAAGAGATAAAGCTTTGACCATGAACAGCATATGTCGTCTGTTTGTAACAACATGCTCATTATGTGTGATCTTAGATGTTGAAAATGACAGGGCTTAGTACAAAAACACATACAGGACGCAGCCAATATGCAGTTTTCTTTTTATGTGAACATTTGTGTGTGTTGTGTTTCATGGCTATGACCATTCTTATGCAGATTTCTGTTTACACCATTTTACATTTATACTGTCGTTTGCTTATACATGTCACATGAAACCGTATGTGATGCGAGAGTAACACACATGCATGAATATATGTATGAATACATGAAATATGCGTCTGAAAGCTGTATGACAGGGGCTGTAATTACATAAGACAAAACACAGAACTATTTTCATATGCAAATCATATAAATATGTATTTTGCATAATTTATGACTCAGATTCTTTTGTAAAGGCGGCAGTCAGATAATAATACACGAGAGAACAGACATGAGAGAGGAAGGGAAAAAATGCGACAACATAAAGACAAGACTGATAGACTGTTTTCGTAAACAAATCATATTATAATTATTATTTTGTTTTGGAGAGAATGAGTGCAGAATGTGAGCACTGTATGGAAATATCTACTGTATAACATGAATATAGAAGTGACCAGATCAGTGATTTATACAATTTATACATTTTGATCAGCCCAGTCGCCAGAAGAAAATGTTGGCATTGTGCATTTCTGCAAACCACAAAATGTAACATTTACACATGTCAAAGGTATCATATCAACATTTCTACAGTGACACAGGTTATCAGCTGACTTTGAAATCAGGAGGTGCAGGGCTTGGTGGATGGTATAACATCTAGGCAAGACACCTGCCAAGCAGCACACTACTGTTTAAGGCCAACAAACATTTATTTACAGTAGTTTTAAGGCACCAAATGTGGGTGTTTTTTAATGGCCTGTCACTGTTTTTCCAGCAGCTTTTCAGTCCAAAATATGGGTGTTTATAGCAACATCTCATTATTTTTCTGGTAGATTTTTAGGCAACAAACGTAGGTGTTTTTAAGTGATCTATCAATGTTTTATAAATTGTCTTTTAGGCACTAAACATGGGTGTTATGTTATCCATCACTGTTTCTCCTAGGGCTTTTCAGGCCCCAAATATAGTTGTTTTTAGTGACCCATTGCTGTTATTATAGTGGCTTTCTGGGCACCAACATGTGTGTTTTTTAGCAGCCTGTTGCTGTTTTCCCAACAGCTTTTTAGCCCCCAATGTGGGTGTTTTTAATTACCTTTTGCTGTTTTTCCAGTGGATTTTTTAGACACCAAACATGGGTGTTTCACTGTTTTTCTAACAGCTTTTCAGTCCCTAAATGCAGGTGATTTTTAGCAACCTATTGCTGTTTTTCCAATGGATTTTTAGGCACCAAACTTTGTTTTTTAGCAACCAATAGCTGTTTTTCCTGGGGCTTTTCAGACCCCAAATGTGGGTGTTTTTCAGTGACCCATGGCTGTTTTCCATTGGCTTTTTAAGTACCAAACATGGGTGTTTTTTAGTGACCCATCAATATCTTTCCTAAGGCTAGTCAGGCTATTTTTAGCAGCCTGTCTCTGTTTTTCCAACTGCTTTGTAGGTACCAAACATGCATGTTTTTTAGTTACCCATCACTGTTCCTTCTGGGGCTTTTCAGACCCCAAATGTGGGTGTTTTTTAGTGACCCATTGCTGTTTTTTGGGCATCAAAATGGGTGTTTTTTAGCGGCCTGTCACTGTTTTTCCAACAGCTTATCAGTCCCCAAATGCAGGTGATTTGTAGCAACCCGTTGCTGTTTTTCCAATGGCTTTTTAGGCACCATACATGTTTTTTTTGTTTTTAGTGACCCATCAATATCTTTCCTAAGGCTATTTAGACTCCAAATGTGGGTGATATTTAGCAGCCTGTCTCTGTTTTTCCAACTGCTTTGTAGGTACCAAACATGGATGTTTTTAGTTACCCATCACTGTTCCTTCTGGGGCTTTTCAGACCCCAAATGCGGTTGTTTTTTAGTGACCCATTGCTGTTTTTTAAGTGGATTTTTGGGCATCAAAATGGGTGTTTTTTAGCGACCTGTCACTGTTTTTCCAACAGCTTTTCAGGCCAAAAATGTGGGTGTTTTTTAGCAGCCCCTCACTGTTTTCCAGCAGCTTTTTAGGTACCAAACATGGGCATTTTTGGTGACCCATCAATGTTTTTCCTGAGACTTTTCAGACCCCAAATGAGAGGGACCTGTCACTGTTTTTCCAACAGCTTTTCATTCCCCAAATGCAGGTGCTTTTGCATCTCGTTGCTGTTTTACCAATTGCTTTGTAGGCACCAAATAGGTGTTTTAGTAACCCATTAATGTCTTTCCTGGGGCTTTTCAGACCCCAAATGTGGGTGTTTTTTGGCGACCTGTCACTATTTCTTCAGTAGCTTTTTCTAACAGGCTTAAACCAAGTTTTTTTTCTGTGTCTAAACAAACCCACATGTAAACCACAGTTTTGTTCCAGTGTATCCACCACAAAATAATGTCCAATTTTAACATACCCATGGTTTGCAAAACTGTACTATGGCAACATTTTCTCCTGATGAAGGGGTTGTTTTGGTACTGACATTCATAGAAGTGGTTTGAAAAAAAATGATTAATCATAAGCAACAGCAAGTTTATTGGGCAGAAAAAAACTGTTTTTGACTAGATACATCATCTCTCTCAACATTTAAACGTCATTATTACTGGCAGTGTGTGTTGCTGTTGGTAGTGTGGGCAGGCCTAAATTTAAAATGAGCCCCCCCCCCAACACGTGAATCAAGATCTTACCCCACACACCGTACACGTAAACAATGCTATCACACAAGCAAGCGCTGGCATCGACTGTAATCCTGTTTTGTGAGGATTAGGCCTGCGCGGAGGTTGAGCTGATCACTGTATCTGTTTGACAGGTGGATCATGCATGAAGCATTCATTCTGACACACAGACCCCGAGTGAATGACTAAGATGTGCAAACTACCAGCCAGTGGCACAATGAGCAGATCCAAAAACACGCTAGTCAGCACGCCGCAGCGATAAAGAGTTACAGAGATAAACAGCTTTGATGTGCAGAAAGAAATCAGCCCTGTGTTGATGTTTAGAGGATATACAGTATGTGAAAGCCGAATATATAGCAGGATATACAGCAGGAGGTTTAGAAACTTTCAAATATGAGAGAGAGGGAGGGATTATACACAACGGTTACTCATGGTGCAGAATTAACTGTTCAGTCAGGGTTAATTCTCATTTTTCAGCGATGACTCTGGACGTGGTTTGTGTGATGTTGTTTGTCAAAGGTTGGCCTGCTGAGATCAGCCGCACTGAACACCCGTTTTCTCTCCTATTTCAATTTGTACTTCCTGGAAGACAATAATTGGTTATTGCGTCAGTGTTGACTTTTTCCTAACAATGTGTGATAGGTTACAGGGATAAGGCAGTAAGAAAAACAGCCCTGTGTGAATGCGTGTGTGTGTGTACATGTGTTTGCCAAAGGCAGAGAAGAATATTGTACTCACATGGCGGACATTATTTTCCCTGCACGCAGAAATGTTTGACTGCTGTTGAAAGCAAGATGACATAAATTAAATATCATTTTTTAACAACTTCCTGTAATCCGTGCTAAGAGGTTTACTCACATTTACCTTCCAATAAAAAGACAGCGGTCATTGCAGAGAGGAAACACATCTTGAGAATGTTCAAGTGCACAATCAGCTCGTTAGGGGAGGCATCTGGAAAGTAGAGCAAAAAAAAAAAAAAAAAAAAGGGAAAGAGCAACACTGATTAGCACTGACTTATCATGTTATTGAGCACGACAGAATTAAATCAGGAAGGTTGAACTGGCTTTGGTTGATGGACATTCGCCTCCTCGCTGGGAGGAGAGGTGTTTAAACATTGATTGGGAAAATCATTAATTTGTTCAAGTATGCAGTATTGCAGGCAATCTGTTGCCTTGGAATGATCGATGTGTGACCCACATTAACAGTCAAGTAGGGCAAACACTGAACAAGCGGCTTGTGGTATGCGAGGCCCTGTCGTCCCTGAACTCTGTGTCAGTGCAGACTGTGTTATTTGGAAGGAAGTTGCCTGCAGACTAGCAAAGTGGAGAGAAGTGTTTTGGACATCCAGGTTTCCAGAAGCAAGAATCTTGTTCATTTTTTGTACGTTAGGTGGATTCAGCTGGAGCACTTCCAAGGTAAGAAAATCTCTCTCAGTACAGGAGTTGAGCAACTGAATTAGATTATAAAGTCAAAGGAGCCTGAGTACATAAAACCTGAGAGCTACTCCGATCAATAGTTTTATATTAATAATGGATCAAATGACTACGCATAATGTGAATGTAGTGATGCACATGTAATGTCAATGTACATGTAGTGATGAACCCAGACAGAATTGTCAAATACTTTTCAGTTTTCTGGCCCGCAACACTAGCGTTTGGGTTCAATCTCACCACTCTCATGATTGTTGTTTTCAGTCATGGCTGTTGTTTTAGCAAAAACTCCATTCTGTACTGCACCAAAAAACAGACACAATTCGACAGTACCTAAGGAACACAATCTAGCTAACAATTAAAGAGTCAGATATTTCCCTCAGGAGATGGTGGAGACCAAAGCAGAACTAAAAGGAGAAAGAGTACTGGGATAAAACTTGGCATTGTACATTTCTGCAAACCACAAATATGTTACATTTCTATGTTTCATACCTATGACTTAATTCAGATGACATATATATGAGCTAAGTTTCCAATCAGGAGGAGGAGGGGATGGTGCGACTGGGCAAAATGGCTGCCAAACAGCAGACAGCAACAGGCCTCTTTTCAAGAAAAACATAAGATGGTGTTTTTAACGAAGATTTGGGATGCCCAGCGATGTTTGTAAAGACAAAAGTGTTTTTTTTTTAACAACCTTTCGGGATATGTGGTGGTGTTCGTAGAGACAAAAAGCAGGTTTTCTTAATGATATTTTGGGACATGATTGATGGTGTTTGTAGCCACAAAAGCAAATGTTTTTTAACGACAGTTTGGGACATGGCCAGCTGTGTTTGTAAACACAAAAGTGATTTTTTTTTTAATGACATGATGTTTGTAGCAGCAAAAATGGATGTCTTTTTACGACAGTTTGGGACATGTCTGGCAGTGTTTGTAATGATGAAAGCAGGTGTTTTTAAATGACGGTTCGGGACATGTCCAGCGGTGTTCATAGAGACAAAAGCAGGCATTTTCAACCATATTTTGGAACAGGAGTGCGGATGTTTGTAGCCACAAAAGCAGGTCCTTTTTAACAGCATTTTGGGACATTTTGTTCAGCAGTGTTTGTAGTAAGCCAAAACATGATGTTTTCCTCACCCTAACGAAATGGTTTTTGTGCATAAACCTAACCACACATTTACCACAAAATTGTCACAACAAAAAATGTTAAATTAAAATGTATAGAAACGTTGAGTTTTAACATATCGACCTACATACGGCTACATGCAATTCAGGGTCCAAAGTACCACTTGGAACATATATAGGAAGTCATTTATTCTCTATTATTATTAGTAATGCTATTGTTTGCTTTCCTTTATTATTTATATAACTTATTGTTCCTTCCTGCCTCTAACTATCTGTCTATGAAACTTTCCAATGTTACATATCCTTGGTTTGCACAAACGTACAATGCCCACATCTATTCTTGTGATTGGATTCAGCCAAAAACACAACTTTAAATGACTGCTAATGATGCTCCATAACTGCAGGATGTGTAAATTAGTTTGCTATAAACTTGTAAAGGAGATAATATGTTAGTGTTGTTTTTAAAACTTCCTTCGATTGCCCCAGAGCGCCCAAAAAGTCTGTTATGGAGAAACTCTGCGTAATATTTCTGCAGGCTAATGGCAGGCTGGAGCCAAAGATTGTACTTTGTATGAATCTGATAATGCATTCAGCATTTCAAATCAGTTCACTTTCAGATTCTGGGTAGATGTTGGATGAATTCAGCCAGCAGGAGCAGTGTTTTTTTTTTTTTTTTTTTTTTTTTTTTAATTCAAATTGCAATGACATGTGCTCCTCATTTCCTACAGCAGTGGTGTGTAATATTTAGAGGCATCTGTCATACCAAACTGACAGAGGAAAAAAAACCCCCACAATTTCTCTAAGGCAAAGTTAAATATTTAAAACTGATGGGTGTTATATTGTCCCATATTAAAGTCCCAATTCTTATGTTGCAGAACATTTAGGATGGTAAAAAACAATCAGACTACAATCAGTGGCTCTTTGCACCTCCCAACTAATGCCTCCAAGACACATTTCTACTGTATAAAATTATAATATTTGCAAAATGAATCAATTCCTTGTTTAGTTACCCCAAGTGAAGGAGGCAGTCAGAGCAGTGGTCATGGCAGGGTGGTCCTGCACCCCACAAGTGAAGGTGATCCCTGCTTTCAAGGACTCCTTCTGTGGCAGGAGAAACACACTGAAGAGATACGCTTTCTGGCTGTGGTTGTCCATCACCTGGAAACACTTTAGGTGACTCGTCGGCATGAAGTCCAACAACCAATCTGAGGACAGCAGGGCTCCTTCAGCCTGGGGTTTAGACAGGTAACCATGGGGGTTAAACACAGGAAGGGTGCAATTGGTGACTGACAGGTGATCGATATTGGCTGCTTCGCTCTGGTAGGTCCAGGTGAGGGTGAGCTCACTGGGGTGGAATCCCCCGGTGAGACAGAAGAGAGCCCACTGACCAGTCTGTGGGTCGAAGGGAGTTTGGAGGTAAATCTTGGGAGCTGAAGGAGGTGCTAACGGAGGAACAGGGATGAGAAACAAAGTAAACACATCAGATGAGATAATTCAAACTGTGAAAGTGGGTCATTGCAGCAGCAAATAATGATATGCAGCAAGAGAAAATAGGACAGAAATACGAAAAGAGCGAATGTGGTGGTATTAGTCATAATGCAGCCATTTATTTAAAAACAAGAACGGATTAAGAGGAAATATGTTGATGAAAAGTATGAGAACACATAAATTATATGCGTTCACTGGCAAACCCTCTGAGACATAAAGGAAAAGGACGTAAAATATTGCATACAGCACAATAATTAAAAGATGCATAACTGAAGCGCTAAATACTAAATAACTATTTTGAATTATGCTGCAGTCACTCTCACTGCTAATGTCTCTTCTGCTAGTTCTACTATCTTTACTGACCATTTTGCCTGTATGTAAATTTAGTTACAAAATGTTTTAGCTACAAATAAAAAGCTGTAAATATAAAAACAAAAATGGGAAAAAATGAAATGGTATGTAACAGTAAATCTTAAGTGAAACACAAACAAGAATAAAATGGTTAAAAACATGCAATTTCAAGTTGTTGGATGCAACATCGCATCCAGACAGAAGCAAAAAGATGCTTTTCTTCCGCATGAAGGATTTCCACATAATAATTTGGCCATCCCTCCCTGCCTTGTTTTCTGGTGAGTTTCAATTCCCCGGGCAAGATCGATACAAGGCACTGCGCATGGTGCCAGGGTGATTATTTCTAGATCTGTCATGAAACTGCTCAGGCAAAAAGATGAACTCTGAGGGAATTTCACATGACTTGAATTTTTATAGATTGAGCCTGGCTGTTGCTGTTATGGTGAAGCATGGTCCACCCTGACGCTCGTATCGAGCTGCCTCCCCACTAAACACTGTGGCTCTGGTGCACAAAAGATACAAATGAGACATAATTACCAGCATGGCAACATCACCCAAGCACAACAACTCTAATGAATTTCTAAAAGGAGCAATTTATTTCTCACCCAAGACGACCAGCTCGGTGCCGTTGCCCCACTCTGGGTCTTTCTGCAGGACGTTCACCTCACAGTAATACCACCCAGAATCCTCCAGTGTTACCTCAGAGATCACCAGGGAAGAAGTTTGATTCTTCTCCACAACCCACTGCCTGGATGACTTTGGGATGAGCTGCTTGTCCGACTTCATTTTGAACCACTGAACCCCGTACTTGAGGGATTCAACTTTGAAATGACAGGACAGGGTTGCCGTTTCACCCCGCATCACACTGAGTGAGGGAGGGTACTGTCTAACCCTTAGTCCCTCTGGGGTTGCTGTCAGGGCTAAAGACAGAGCCATTAATACAACGTGTCATACAAGGAACTTTTATAAAGTGCAGAGCAGACCTGCAGGTCAACTACAAATACTTTAAATGTGTGTTTAGTATGCCTGGGTGACAGCTGGGACAAAGAGCCTCAGACAGAAAACTCAAGCAACCTCAAGAACAAAATTGGGAGTCAATTTAGTATAATTTTATAATGCATAACACTTATCGAATGGCTCCCAATGTGATAAACTCCACTCAACAATGCTGTTTTTTAAAACTCTCTTTTTTTCTCAGCAATGCACACACTCTCAAGTACAAAAGATTTCAACAGCCTTGGAGTGTCTGTTTGATTGTGGCGACCGCTTGTCTAGCTAAGTGTGATGAAGTGATTATTAAGTGCGATGATGAAATACTGCAGATAAGATAAGCAAAACACTCAGTCGCTCACAATTGGAGTGCAGACGACAAAGAAGACCAGCAAACACAGAAATGATGGCCCAAAAACAGGTCGCGTCTACCTCCTACTTCTTTTCATTAAAAGACGAGCAGAAGCAAAACGTTTGCAGTAATTCAGTCACTTTTATAATGTTAATATAAAACTGAAAATATGTTATTTAACTGCAAAATATTGTACCAAACTTTTTAAAGGGGTACTCAAAGAAAATACGGCAAACACGATGTTAACAGAGATCAAACCCTGGGTGACACAACAGACTCTGTGACACGACTGACTTGTATTCAGACTGACCTGGTACTTGACCTGCCAACAAGAGAAGCAAACAAAGGCAAGTCAGTTTTGCCATGCTGTTGCTGTTGTTGTTCCCCACACCAAGCTTGAGTGGTGAAATAATTTCTCAGGCAGGCTTAAGTCTGAAGCTCGCTGTGCTTTAAAAAATGTGATGGTGTCAGCTTGTTTTGTTGTTACACTCGCTGGTTAGGCTATGGTTCATTAATAGGTCATTCTTCAGCAGAAACCTGACTCTCAGAGACTGTTGGGGTGAAAAAACTACATATGTCAGTGTCTGGGCAAACAAATAGGCACTCTGTCTGCATGCTGACAGAAACCACAGCGCAACAGTCAGCGAGTGTTGCTGCCATTATTCTACAGGTCTCTGTTTTACAGCGTCAAAGCTGTTTACATCATCTAAACTATTTGATTTAAAAGATTAGTATTTTAATTTTAAGTAATTGCAATCATTTTTAATGAAGCAATGTTCATTTTTAAAATATCCTTAGGACATTGAAGGTTTATATTTGCATCCAATTACCTGAGAAACAACTGTTTATTACTGAAGTTACATTAAAAGAAAAATCCCAATAACACAAAAGCCCCTTGTGATAAGCAATGATCGCTTTATGAAAAACAAGTCAGTGTTTTGAGTTTTGAAGCCATAATGTTTTTACAAGCATTCATAAATTCTTTCTTCTAGTTTAAAGGCTTTGCAGCACATTACTGAGTGTGTTGATGTATTCTGGGACTCTTGTTTTGATTTGGGCTTTTTGAGTTTTTCTTGTCTGATAGCTGCAAATATGAATTTCCTGAGTGGCCTAATGAGCTACAGTATAATTAATTCAGATCTACGTCCTCCAAGGGGGAGAAAACTTGTGATGCTAGGTGTAATCATCACCATCAAAGCAGCAAACACACAAGTTTAAAATGTGAGTTCAACTTTTGGAAAAAAGTCAGGGAGTGAGAGCTACAGAGGATCCACCATGTACAAACATTAAAACTGGCAAGACTTAGGGCCTCTACACCACAGTTTTTTGAGCCCTTAAATCCATAGTTTTCTATGTTGATGTGCGGAGTGTGCACTCAGAAGCAAGGGTGATGCCCTTGAAGCATGTTTTTCCAGACACCTGTTTTTCAGGTGGTGATGACTGCGCCCTGATTGTGCTTTCAGACCTAGACTTCACTTGCTTTGGTCTGAATCAGGGACTAACTCTGTTACAAAGTTGCATAATTGCCCAGAGTTGGTTCATGTTCTCACGGCAGCATTTACAAGCGGACCAGATAAAATGCCTTGTGTGAGAAAGCTGCTCTTGATTGGCCAGAATTTCCATGCGGGAAAAATCCAGGAAGTAAACAAAACATTGAAGAAGAGTACATATGCAAGATAATGTCACAATGGAGGGACAACTACGCAGGTAGATTTTAGCGCTGCTCATCGTGGACTATATTGCTGTCATTGTTCATTTTAGTCAAACCATACAGTTTGAAAACGAGGCGCGGCTCCAACTAGAAAACAATGTTTTGATGCATTGGATGTGCTGAATGTGCATATTAAGGCAGTACAGGAGGAGGTGCACATTAATAATCCTCCAGG